ACCCGCTGCAGCTGCCCCACCCCTCTCATTACCGCTTCGCTACGGAGGACTTTGACACAAACATCATTTTTGAAGAGACCCGGTCCTCGCTGCTCAGCTCCACTTCCGCCTCCTCAANTCCTCGATGCTTAGCTCTTCTTCATCTTCAAACGTTCCGCTGATCAAAGGTGCCACGCTGTTGAAGCTGATTGAACGGTTGACCTACCACAAGTACGGCGACCCGGCGCTGGTGCGCACTTTTCTGACCACCTATCGCTCCTTTTGCACGCCCACCGAGCTGCTGAAGTTGCTCATTGAGCGCTTTGAGATTCCGAACCCTGATCTGAGTAGCTGCCTGCAGGCGATGCACTTTGCCAATCAGGAGCTTGCCTCACCGACCAGCATTCACCCGTCAATGGGTGGATTGAACCACCAGCAGAATCATCTTCAGCATCAGCAGAACCATCATCAGCATCAGCATCAGAATCATCAGTCGGAAGCTATCGTCGGCAGTCCGGTGACTGCTTCGGCTGAGGAGACGACAGGAGGAGTTCAAGAGAACTCCACCACCACCGCCCAAGGGCCACCCACCTCGCCCATCAGCCCCACCACATCGATCATGTCTGACTTTAGCTCGAACACCTTCACCTTCCTCACCGGGGCGGAGGAGGGGGGGAACACCCCGGCTGATACTGAGCAGCAGCAGCGGGACTACACGGAGATGGTGAAGAAGTTCCGGAAGGAGTACGCCGAGCCGGTGCAGTTTCGCGTCATGAACGTCCTCCGCCACTGGATCGAGAATCACTACTACGACTTTGAGCGCGACCCCTCGCTGCTGGAGGCGCTGACGGAGTTTCTGGAGCGGAAGAAGCGGCCGCAGCCGTCGACAGCTTCCGCTTCTGCTTCCGCCTCTTCTGCTCCAAACGGACCAGCCACAACCACCACAACAACCTCTTCATCTTCTCTGAACTTGGAGTCGATGAGCATCGTCGGCGGCAGCATGATCAGCCTGCTGCTGAAGTCGGGACCGGAGAGCGTGCAGGCCGTCCCGAGGACGATGCGCAAGCTGATTGAGCACCTCACCAAGGTGATTGACCGGAAGAAGGACCAGGCGTCGAAGCAGAAGGAGACCAGTCGGGAGATTATGCACAACTCGGTGGCGCCGGCCATCGAGTGGTGGCTCACCAGGGAGGAGGAGGAGTTTGATCTGCTCACGGTAAGGAGTTGATTTGGGGAGTTTGGGAGTTTTTTATTTACCGAATTTTTATGTTTGTACCAGCTGCATCCCGTGGAGATTGCCCGTCAGCTGACGCTGCTCGAGTTTGAGCTGTACTGTGCGGTGAAGCCCTCAGAGCTGGTCGGCACTGAGCAGGGGAAGACCGGCGTGTGGACGAAGAAGGACAAGCAGAAGACGTCGCCCAACCTGCTCAAGTTGATTTACCACAACTCAAATGTGAGGGTTTAGGGTTTGATTGAAGACAACTTTCTTATTTCTTAAATTGTTTGTTTGTTTTCACCAGTTCACCTACTACCTGGAGAAGTGCATCATCGAGGCGGAGAACTTCGAGGAGCGGGTGGCGATTCTCCTGCGCATCATTGAAATAATGATCGTTCTCCAGGAGCTGAACAACTTCAACGGGGTGATTGAGGTGATGTCGGCGCTGCATTCGGCTAGCGTCTTTCGCCTGGAGCACACCATGGCGCGCATTGAAAGTAACAGCAAGCTGAAGAGGGCCTTTGATGAGGGCCTGGAGCTGATGCAGGATCACTTTAAAAAGTAGGAGTTTGGTGGGAGTTGATTGAAGAAAACTAACCTTTTTTACCTTCTTCTTCTTGATCACCAGGTACCAGGACAAGCTGCGCTCCATCAACCCGCCCTGTGTGCCCTTCTTCGGCACCTACCTCACCAACATCCTCCACCTGGAGGAGGGCAACCCCGAGTACCTGTCGCCGCCGCAGCACCTCGAAAATATGTCCCTGCACGACACCTCGGGCATCCTCTCCGATGAGGCCGTCAACTGTAAGCTAATCAACTTCAGCAAGAAGCGGAAAGTGGCGGAGATTACCGGCGAGATTCAGCAGTACCAGAATCAGCCGTACTGCCTCAAGGTGGAGCCGACCATTCGGGTAGGGAAATAGTCGTGGGAACATTTTTTGAGGATTTAAAAACTAACTTATTTTTTTGTTGCATTTTCTGCAGCACTTTCTCGAGAACCTCGCTCCGCACACTGGGATGACTGAACGGGAGTTTGACGACTACCTCTACAACCGGTCGATGGTCATTGAACCGCGCGGCGCGAAGCAGCCGGTCAAGAATGTGAGTACATTTTGAAGAGTATAAAAATTTGCAAAATTGTTAATCCCTTTTCTTTCCAAAATAGCCTCGAAAGTGGCCCTCGCGTCAGCTCAAATCGCCGGGCATCAAGACGGTGAAGCAGCGTTTCATCCCCCTGATGTCCATCGACCCGTTGATCAGCAACTTCACCAGCTATGCCCACAATCACGGCAGCAGCAGTCACCACCACCAGAATTCTGGTCAGCAAAACAGCACTCCAAACAGCGCCAACAGCCAACATCACCCTGACTTAGACAGTCTTTCGCAGCAGATATCGCCGCCGACGCCGCTGACGCCGCCGCACTCTGCTTCCTTTCACCATCACTCTCACTCTCACTCTCACCAGTCTCACCACTCTCATCATCGTCACAGTAATCACCACCACCACTCGAGGCACAACTCCAACAATGACACCATCTTTG